TATCATGGTCTATCATTTCATTTTCAACAACTTTCAAAAGCCTCGCGGAGATTGCTTTTTTCAGCCTCACTTTGTAAAAAAAATGAAAAAAATAAAATATGGCCTTCGATCCTTGCGCTGTTTCAATTCTGATTGTGATACTGTCAATTATGACAAAGCCGTCTTTAGTTTGGGAAACGTTCTGTTTAGTTTATTAGGTCATCGTTGGAGTAAACAACAGAGTTGTTCGTTACAAAATGACTCTCACGCTAACCCCCCGGTCAACAAAATGGTCTAGTCCAACACGGCTGGAGACTTTTTGAGAAAAATGGCGGCAGAACGAAGTTCGGCTGTACGACAAAACTTTTGGGCGCCTTGTTTGTCGTCATTTGGGTACGTTCAGTCTATTTGATAGTCAGAAACTAAAGAATGATAAAAGAGGCACATAATTTGACAGACTTTTGAGGAGTAACTCGGCTTGCATGTCCATAAACGAACTCGTAACTGTTGCATGCATCATGATACGAGATAATTTACGGCTGCATGTACGGAGTTAGGACGTAGACAAACTTTTGGACGCCTTGTTTGTCGTCATTTGGGTACGTCCAGTTTATTTGATAGTCAGAAACCAAAGAATGATATAAGAGGCACATAATTTGACAGAATTGTGAGAAGTAACTCGGCTTGCGGCTACAGTCTGGGCCGTCATGGCGGCCGTAGGGAGTTAGGCCGTAGGACAAAACTTTTGGACGCCTTGTTTGTCGTCATTTGGGTACGTTCAGTCTATTTGATAGTCAGAAACTAAAGAATGATATATGAGGCACATAGTTTGACGGAATTTTGAGGGCTTATTCGGCCTGTATGTCCATGAATGAACTCGTAACTGCTGCATACCACGGCTTGGCCCTGGCTTGGCTAGTCTGGACCGTCCAAAATAATAATGGCGTCGGTACGCGGTACGGAGTTAACGTAGGACAAAACTTTTGGACGTCTTGTTTGTCGTCATTTGGATACGTTCAGTCTATTTGATAGTCCAAAACTAAAGAATGATCTAAGAGGCACATAATTTGACAGGATTTTGAGGGGTAATTCGGCACACATGGACTAAATTCTATGCCTGAGGCTATTGACAGGATCGTCCTGTCAACAGCAGGAAATACTGCACTGCTGACAGGATCGTCCTGTCAATAGCAGAAAATACTGCACTGCTGACAGGACGATCCTGTCAATAGCAGAAAATATTGCACTGCTGACAGGACGATCCTGTCAATAACAGGAAATACTGCATTGCTGACAGGATCGTCCTGTCAGCAGTGCCATTTTGACACTGTTG